CCGGCGCAATTAAACCAACCAGCTGATTGCGCACAAAAATAGCGCAAATGTGACGCACACAGCGCGGGCGCAGACGGCCCTCACCGGCCGCCGTCAGCCGCCGAGCGTGCGGTCTTTCACCCCTTCAAGGGCAGCGGTGGCATCACCACCATCAGCTGCAGCAGCGGCGGGTTCACGGCGACCTGACCGGCCTGTCTCGCGGGGGACTGACCGGTCACCGACGTCCGCCGGTCACCGGCAGACCAATGACGCGCCGACCCGACCCCACCTACCCCGTCGGCCCGCCCCCCGCGACCGTTGACCGGCGCGCGGGTAGCGGAGGGGGCTGGGACGGCCGGCGGACCGAGACCGCCGCCCCCGGGCAGGGTGTGGTCGCCCGCACGCCGCAAGGTGACTCCTCTCGGCGCCGCGGCGCGAGTTTTTGTACCCAGCTCTCGTCGGATGTTCTGGGAACGGTGCACACACTGATCGGGCTGTCCCACTGGGACGGCCGCCCGCCGGGGAGTCCCAGAGCCGCGGTACTCTTTGAACGACTCTGTGAACGATGGCTGACAGACACGAGAAGACGTAAATTATGTTTAGGAGCATTTCAGATTACTCAGCCTGGTAACCGGTGCTGTGGCGCTCGGTTACAGAAATGATGGGTCATTATCAGTCACAAATGAGAAGTGACGCAATTCGAAACTGCTCTGAGGCGAAACAAAGTTTTGCGCAACAACGCTAATGTGCTCGGTTACATAAGCTTATCCTAGAAACTAGTGACGGGACCAAGACGGGACGCTAATTTTGGGATCACAGGCGCAGTACACCGTTTTTTTTTTGTGTTGTTGAACCCCAGACGAACCTGGCGAGGATCCTGCAAGCTCGAAAAGCTGGATACATAATACATATGTACACCAGGCCGGGAATGGCGAATTTGTGTGGAATTAACATTTATTCGGGGCTCAATGATAAGTGCGATGTAGACGTTTTGGCCAAACCATTTCAGCTGCAAATAACATATCAAAGGCCATAAAATACGTTTTTACTTCTTAGCTTCCAAAAGCTGCAGAAGTAAAGGAAAAAGGATTGAACGGCCATATCCAAAGGCAAGCCTTATCTTTTATCATCTAGTTACTTCATGTGGGCAATCATTCCTGGTTGACCAGTTTCATATACGCCCAAGCCCCAAGGCTATAGTCATACGCCCAATTAATTTATCCGTCGACGTGGCGGTGGCGTTCTTAGCCCTGCCTAAGGGCTTTTGTGTATTGACGACGTGCCATTTTTATATCTTTCCCACATAAAATGCTTGTTTTTTTTTAATTCCCCGCCCGTCTCAGGTTACAACAAGGTAGAAAAATATTATTATTATTATTATTGTTTTTTTTTTTAACCTCGGCCTTGTATTCAAGGCAAGCCAGTAATCAACACAACTCATTAAATCACAATTGACTGTGTTTAAAAACAGATAGTTTTCTCCTTCAGTGAAGGCCGAAACAGGAAATATATAGAGAAACACGGGACTTTTTTACTTGCAGCCAAACATCGCCGTTTGGGCACACCTCGCCATTATCTTTTCCACAAAGTCATGTGAAAATCTGAGGTTCAGCCAGCTCACCTCGGGCCACTAGGTCATGTTCGGTGACCTTTTCGAAATAAAAAGTGGGTAAACATGCTCTTATATAGATAGTATAGGACCTACCTCGATTGAACGTTTTTTTTTTAATCAACTTTCAACGGTTGTAGGCATGTACCTACAAATAAAATTATCCCGCACCGTAGACAGTGTTTACAATTGCTTCACGTACAAAGAGAGAAAATTATCAGATGTCGTTTAACCGCCTTGGTTTAACCGATTTGTTAAACGTTTAGACGTTTAACAAACTGTTAAACGTCTACAACGTCTATGTAGTAGACATTTCGTGTAGTCTGAAATATGTCGCTTTTTTACAGAAAATGTATTTTTTACCTTTAAGCGCTCGAAAGCTACCGGCGGTACGGGATAAAATCATTAAACCACTCGTAGGTAGAAAAATCTTTTAAACGTCTCGCCTATCGGCTCGACGTTTAAAAGATTTGTTCTACCTACTCGCGGTTTAATAGGAAAGAAGAGGAAACTTTCACTAAAGGAACTCTTCTTGCAGTGACGACATCGAGTTGTTGAGTGAGTGAGCAAGCTAGCACTCAGAGAGTGAGCCCATGAGTGGGCGAGTAGGCAAGTGACTTGTGTGTGTATGACTGTGTGAGAGGATGAGCTAGCTAGTGACTGAGTGAGTGAGTGAAGTGAGCGGGAGGACAGGGTGATGTCCGTGTCCTTGGCTCGCTGGGCGCGGTCACACAGCTTAAGGCCCAACGCCGTCTATTCCGCCGGGTACATCCGGCTGGGGCGTGCAGGTGGCCACACCCATTGGTGTCTGACGGGGGGGGGGGGGGGGGCAGCTGATCCAGAGGGGTGATCAGGTGATCTGTAGGAGCCGCACAGCAGGACAGGATGAAAGGCGTCAGGCGGCACGGCTAGTCCGTGCAGGCTTGAAGCTTATATCAAATAATGTTGATTGAGTGGCATGCCGTTTGTTAAGAACGTTCCGATCAATTTTGAATTCGCTTCAGACTTTGCCACTCGAATGTTGATAGAAGTAGGAACAGAGGACGGGGATATACCTAACGAATCAGGATGCGATATGTCCTTCAGCAGGACCTGAACTCCTGGCTGTTCTCGACACCGATTACAAAACTTAACAGTGAACACCCGAAGCCCAGCGATCTGTCTCATTGGAGCTCGGGGATAAAAAAGTTATCAGTGCCCTGCCGGACATACTAGCCTATATTAGAGCTAGAATAGCAAGCAAATGGTTGAGGCCGAGAGATACCCACCTACCGTTCGAACATCTGGCACGACCCAGCTTCCTGACAGGCTCAAAGCAGGTGCAATGTCCCAGACACTCAGGGCCTCGTCTAAGGAATTTTCACTGGGGGGGGGGGGGGGGCAGAGACTGAAGGACCCAAACCTAGGGTACCCCTAAATCCTGTTTTCTCACCGGATTTAGGCCACTTGTTTTTCGTCACAGCCCTGAGACCAATTTTTTTAACAAAAAAAACAACAACAAAAAACAGAGCCATGCTCGTATAGGGGGGGGGGGGTCGAACGGACCCCCCGGTTTTTCACGAATAACTCACGTAAAAGCGGCTGACCGCGACGAAACTTTCAGTACCCACGCGTTAGTCAATTTTACACCTACTTTGAAAATGTCATGACCCTGACCGTAATGACCTTTGACCTGTGACTTCTTTTCGAGACCATATTTGGCCGGAATCGCGATTCGGCGTATGTCGGCTCGCATTAGCCGCGCGTTTGCAGTCTTTCCGTGGTTTCAAGAGTTCAAACATGGAAGATGATATTGCTCCCATGCATTAGGGTAGGCGTCAAGGTCACCGCGAGGTCAGGTCAGGTCATTGGCTTTTGATGACTTCGGTTCACTTTTTCGAGTTTTACATGATTCTAGGCCAGTTTTTGGAGCTGAATTCGAATTTAGCAACCATTTGAACATTTACGAAGTAGTTTTGGTGCCTTCGTAACATGTTACGAAGCTGTCAGAGCCAGAGGCGGTTGCCACCTACTACGAATACCCGGCAAAACCCTTACTGGTTGACCTGACCTGACCTGACCCGACCTGGCCTAAATGCATGAAGACATCTGTGATAATTAACTAACATGATATTCGTGATCAGCACCCGAAAAAAACATAACAGCCACCCTTTACCACGTTGTAACAGGTCCCGCTATTTTCCCGACTTTAGGGTCATAGACCTGACCTGGAAGGTCAACCGAAGACTAAGGACCTTAAAATGAGGCATCATCGGCTTCCTCTCGTGACGGGCAACACGGTGGTTTTCTCCGCGAAGCTCTAGCTCGATCAAGGACGAAACGGCAAGGGGCAAGGTAGAACGCCCCCCCCCCGCTATACGTTCGCGGCTGGAAAAACACCAATACGGGCGAGAGTTAAGATTAATGTGTTGCCCCCTCACATTGCCCCACCAGACAGTGCTAAACATATTTATCCGTGTTGGGCCGTGGGCGTTTGATTGAGTGGGAGGGGGGGGGGGGACACAAACACGAGTTGGGTCACTGGCAGCTGCCCATTGACAATTTGCTACTTGAATCACAGTAGCAAAATCACAGAATCACAGTGGGTACTCAGCTCTATAAATCACAAAACTCTGGCAGCTGGCTTTTTCCGTAGTCATGGAGTATGAACAGTTTTTGAACAAATAATTTAACGTTTCTCGTTAAATCCGTATAAGACTCCTAACAAAAACGCATTGCAGAGAAGGTAATTTTGTGAGAAGTTCACGTTTTGACTGGGGGGCAAATGCTGGCCACTGGGGGGGGGGGGGACAATCCGCTCGACTGGGGAGGCAATTGCCCCCCCAGTTAACATGTTAGACGAGGCCCTGCAGACACTTCCGGAGTGACCGCGCTCGGGACACCAAAGGCGGCACCTCGCGGACACCCGACTCCGAGACAAAACCGACATACCTACTCGGCTTGGCAGCCCACGACAAACTAAAATTTATAGGGTCGTTTAATTGTGCGATAGGATCACTGTTTTCCCAATGATCGTTGGCCTCGTGGGGCTACTCAAGTTCGGCCGCATCGGTTCATCCATTTCGCTGTCGCCTGGCATGCTACAGTGGCGACACCTGAATGCTGAATACTCATAGCCGTAGCTAGGGTACTTGCCAATAGATGGCAGGCAATGAGCCATTCTGGCCTAGCAAAAGAAACCCTAAAACGCTGCTAAAATAATATTTTCGCCAATATGGTAAGTATTTCGGCTTTTGAACACTTTTGCAATATATCTTACCGTGAGCACAGCTAAAAATGAAAAGCAATTTTCATATTTAGCTGAAAATTTGCTTCGGTAGCCTGATATATCCATTTTTGCACCTGCATCTTCCGTACCTCAGTGTCGACAAAATCGTGCGCTTCATTCGCCCCGTTCCTTTGACCGCGGGGTGTGTGCTCGCGCGCCGGGGCCCCGTGACGTTCGAGGCCCGAAGAGCCCGAGGACCCCGAGGAGGTCACGGCGGGTGGGTGGTCCCTGTCAGTGTTGCGGTGACGGTGTGCTTTTGGCTGAAGCCGGCAGTCAAAGGTTGTGCGTGAATGAGGTCGTGGGGAAGTGGTTGGATTCAGCAGTTACGTTGAAATGTATTTAGGATCAGGGTAAATAGCTCAAATCCTTAGGAATCGGTGTCTGGACTTACCTCGGCACCATCACAAGTTGAAAGGTGCCCTCCACGGTCTGGAGCTGTAAGGTGCTAGTAGCTGGTAAGTTGCAGTATGTGCAGCTCATTTTTGTCAGAAAGTTAAGCTTAGATTCTACATATAAACAGCATTATATCCCAAGCATTATCACTCTGTAAAAATTGGCATGAGTCCCATGTATAATAACAAATGCTGATCGTAATGCCAATAATTGCTGTGATCTTCGTCATCCATGAACTTGAGTTAACTTGAGTAATTTTTGTGCGGCCAAGGTAGATACCCTCTCTCTGACCCTGTGTCTTGTGTCTGTCTTGTGAAAATCCCATTTGGATTTCTGCATGGGTAGCTGGTTGGTCATATACTTTATTGTGGATTATAATGATGATAACACATGTTGCATGTGCAGCAATGGAATAGAGTCCCCTGTCAAATCAAGCTTAGGTCCGTACCATTCTTGTTGAAAAATGCTTAATGAAGTTGGCAATGTGACTATTTTAGAATTCAACTCATGAAAACAAGGATTAATTATTTTGTTCTGTTTTACTTGTTCTTACTTTGTGTTTTTCCTCATTGCAGATACACTCATTCAAAATGTTTCACTTCATGAAAAAGGACAAAGATGATAAGAAAAAGGACAAAGACAAAGACAAGGACAAGAAAAAGGACAAGAAGGAGCGCCGGATCACGCTGGAGGAGCTGCGGAGACTGGAGGAGGCACGCCGCAGTCTGGTCGGCAAGACCAAGAAGAAGGAAAAGCTGCCCAGCGGGATCACAGCCGACTACCTGGAGAGTTTCACGCAGGCAGAGCGTGAGGCGCTGGCCAGTCGCGGCGCAGTCAGTGTGCTGGCTGGCAGCAGCAGCGCCACCGATGCCGGGGTGCCGCCGCGGCCTCCCAAGCGTGGCAGCGGCTCGGTGGTGTCACTGAAGGGCAGTCTGCAGGACTATCAGCTGGTAGCGGACAACATCGAGACGCCAGCCGGCACGACGGAGAGCACTGTCCGTAACGAGGTGCTCAACTACGAGCGCCTGCTGCAGCGGCGGGCCAGCGGCGCGGCCGGACCATCGGCACCCCCGCCGCTGCCCAACCGACCGCCGCCAGCAGCGTCGCCCTCCCAGTCGACCCACTCGACGCCGTCCAGCTCCTCCGTGCAGCGGCTGGCGCGGCAGTTCGACACGCCTCGCCGCAGCCCGACCCTGTCCCCCAGCGGCTCTGTGCGGTCCTCCGCCAGCTCCGCCACCACGCTGTCGGAGCCGCGCGCCGGGGAGGCGTCCGGGGGCCGCGCGCCGCACCGCTTCCCCGGCCACGAGCTGCGGCTGCCGGCCCTGGCCGCCGCGCCGCCGCCTCCCGCCCGCATCCTGCGCGTGGCGCGTCAGCCTGGTGGTGACTTTGGGTTCGCGCTGCGGCGCTCCATCGTGCTGGAGCGCACGGCGCGTGGCGAGAGCCGAAAGACGGTGATATTTGCGGAGCCGGGCCGCAGCAGCACTGGCGAACCGGGCGGTACGGGCCTGCTGCCCGGGGACCGGCTGGTGGAGGTGAACGGAGTGAACGTGGAGGACGCCGACCGGGAGAAGGTGGTGGCGCTCATCAGGTCATCGGCAGACACCGTCGTCCTCAAGGTGGGTCTCCGATCTGGGGCTGGAGCTGGGAGGGTTGTGCCATGTCTTATCAGACCACTCATGAAGGTGTGTCAACAGCAGCACTCACACTAATGCATTTCCCGTGCCCTTTACTTGCCACTCTTGTGCCGCCCTATCTATCTCGATACATTTTTTTTTTTTTTTACTTATACCGGTAGCACTTCAGAACCACTTTATCTATAGTCGATGGGGTTTCCCCAAACTTTCCCCAAAGCGTTTTCCTTGTGCCTATGAGCGACGATAACCACGTGCCCAGGTGGGTGATTCAATCATTAAAGATGACGGTAGGTCGTCGAGGAAGTTTCCTCAGTAAGATAGAGTTGACGAGGAAGGCGCTGTATGCCATGGGACGAAACGTCTGCTTGCTGAATTGGTAGGTCTCGCTTCTCACACTTAGTGTGAAAAAACTAGGAATATTGTGAGGCATTTACAAATTATATTCAGAAGCCTAAAGTGCATTTCCCTCTTTATAGCTGTCTAGTCTCTATCCATGGCGCTGTCCAGGGTTGACATTGACCTCCATCTGCTACTGCGCATGCTGCTCTCATCGTCGTTGTTGGCTGGTCTATTGAATCCATTCATTCTGTTAGTGCGACTGTACGGATGCAGTATGCTACCGTTCGCTAGTAGGGCCAGACTGCTGTTTCACTCTGTGGTCAAACTGCTGTCCCGTTGTCTGGGGCCAGTCTGCTGGCTCCGTAAGGCCATTCTGTTGTCTCATTGGTCAGTCCGGTGTCCCGCTGCAGTCCGATTTCCCTATCTTTACAGCAGTGACAGTCTGACAGCCTTCTGTCCCACTGCATGACTAGTGTGCTGTCCCTGCAACAGGACCAGTGTGCTGTCCTCATTGCAGTGCCAGTCAGCTTACTGCTGTCCCCGCTGCCACCTGCCGCCCTGCCGGTGGGCTCATGACACTATCTGACCAGCCACCGCCTGATACAGTGACCGATATTACCTCTCACGTCCGTGCGCCCCCCCCCCCCCCCGTCACCCCGCCTTACCGAGGGGAGGGATATCGACCGGCGATGGGCCCGTCGGCGGGCAGATAGGTGAAGCGGTCCTAGATACTACAGCGGAACCGCCAAATTATATTTGGCCTGTCTTAGTATCAAATGACACCTATTTCTGATAAGATATTGGAATAGGATTTATAATGCTGCTGTTGATATCGGTACATTTTTAGCTTATCATTAGACGGATGTTTCGTTCTAAGAGGAAGGTTATATTGGTGTAGTTATCCCTCCGCCGGTGCTTCCTGTGTTGTGCATGAGCCTGTTGATCGGATACGCCCAAGTGCACCAGGTCACGCCCACTTCATTGGGGGCGTGGCAGGCGGGCCGCTGGCCTTTCATGATAACGCTATCGAGCCAGCTAAAAGCGGCTTCAATCGGCCGGCTCGTGACGGGCGCTGTCCATAATCAAACACTGCACCACCTGTCGGGCTAGTCAGGTGATATAGTGCGCCCTAACCTGCACCCGTGACCTTAATGAACGAGGCGTGAATGGTTGCCGCCAGTCCGGCGCAAGTGTGAAGTGTGTCAGAGCACCAACACGCAAGGGGATTATTTGCCGCAGTACCGGCGCTCAGGGTCATTGACCACCCCATATAGATAGCTCTATGCGACTGGCTGTGACCAGCTGACCGCGGTGTATAATCCAGCAGTCACCGAGTGAACGGACCGGCCGTGCTGCCGCGGACGGTCCGGCCAGCTCGCGGTACGGCCAAGGCCGCCGCGCCGGCTCGGTCGTTGGCCCGTGCGCGGCCGGCCGGTACCGGGATGGTGCCTCGTCGTGGCGACGGTGTCATGCTCCTTGACCGTGGGGCTTGGTGGTGTGCGGTAGTCTTTGACGGCGAATTCTTTTTAACATAGTCAAGCTGTTGTCTTCGACTGCTCCGCCGCTCACCGTCCGTCGTCGTACCCCGCCACCCGTCGTCGGCGGGCCGTTGCCCGTCGCCAGCGACCCTCCGCCGGCCGGGCTAATCCACCCGACGGGCGACATTCCTCTGCTGTGTGATAGCCGAGGCGATGGCGGAACTCGGCGATTGATCGTCGGGCGGAGCGGCGATAGAGCGACGGTCGTGTGAAGAACACACAGAGGCAACGAATACATCAGAGAACACTAGAACACAGTCCGTCGGCCACTTTTCTTCATCGCTGCTGCTGGTGTATCCCGCACCACACCCGAAGGCTCGCTTTCCTGCCCTGGGAACTTACAGGAACTTACAGTGCCCAATCCCCTCGTTGCCAAGGCGTTACCCAGTTGTCTATGCTCCACCACCATGAGTCTAGGGCAGTCCGTGTGATGTGTGTAACGAATTCTCACACAGAGAAACACAGGAGAGACTGTGTTCACATGAGACTCTTCCGAAGTCACAGCGGAAAACACTGGTCAGGAAGATGGATGGATGGCAGGCAACCACGAGGCCGGGTCTTCCAGTTCACGGATGCGTGTTCACAACGTGTCGTGTCGAGAGGCCTTAGTGTGGCATTGGTGACATGCAACGGCCGGCATTCCTGTTCTACATTTCAAGGAATGTGAGGAGATATTTGACGTCACCGTGCTTGGAACTGTTTGTCCGTTCCATAAAGCGCTAGTTCGCGTTAAAACCACTGCCGGTTTGAATGCTGTCAACCGAGTGTGATGCCTGATGCCTTCTGCGTATTTTGCTATTCCCTGCCCTAACCCTTCTTTCTCGTTCCCTCTTCGCTCCGGGGAAAATACAAGATTGAGAGAAATTATGATTCCTAATTAAGAAGGTAGGGCGTAACTGGTGATGTGATAAAACGACTCTACGAAGATAAAATGACTCTTGGAGGATGCTCATTGTTCGTGGAATCGCCACCGCCAGCCAGGCCATTCCCTTTGCCCCGCTCCGCATTTCTGAATGTTTGGTCGTTCCGCTACTGCAGAGTCGTGACCTATGTCCTGTGCACTGTGCCCTGCTGTGAGGGGAGAGAGGTTAGGGGAGGGGCCACTCGATCCGTCTCCGTGTTTGGTGGTACGGTCAGCTGCCGTCTGACCGACTGACCGGATCGCCGACCGCCGAGAGCCTCTGAACAGGGGCGATACATCTGCTGCCTATTGGCACATATCTTATGTGCACGATCAGCACAGAGGGTGATAGAGACTTGGCTTCTACAATGACGTTATTGTGATGTGTACTTTGTGGTCAGCAAGGGAAGATACTGGTACTTGACTCCCATCATCAGAGTGTAGAACCGTTCCTACGCATTGCGCATTGCACTGCCGCCGGATGTGGATGGTCTGTGCGATTAGCTCAGCTCGCAGCGAATATGAGCCCAAATGAGCTCATGAGCAGATGGCACCCCTGTTGATATCCTCTCTGCTGACTCATTCACTGTCTGCGTCATCAATTTCCGCGCGGGTCAGCCGCATCATTGTCCGGCACAGAGTACAACGGAGTACCGACAGACCGCCACGCCGACACCAGTAGAGGCTGGCAGTGATGGCGACTCCAATGTCACAACACGGCCACCGCGTGTGATATTGACACCGCTGACACCGACACTAGGATTGACACCTCCTGGTCCCCAATCGCTGGTCCGAGCGTGGCCTGAGCGCGAATAATTCATAAGTTGGCCGTAGTAAGCCAGAGAAGGTGGTTGCAAGGGAAATTTGCTGTCCTGTTTGTGATCTCGTCAAACTGGGGAAGAGAAGAGAGAAGTCGAGGGGGAGGATGACAGTCGATAGTTGATTGCCGTGTGCTGTGGATAATTACTTGCTGGTATGACTGAACATGTTCATGATCATTTTTTTGCTCTCTTTACTTGTACACTACAGTGCTTACTGCTCATTGCGAGAATGTGTAATAAGACAGTCATGAAAGGAAATAATGTTTTCCTGGGTTACTGCGGTACTGCCTTTACCTGCATTCATGCCTACCTTGTTTCATTCATTCTCAATATGTTCGTTGAGCGGAGTGCAAGGATAATCCGATTGGCGTTGGACTACAGGGAATGCTTTGTTTTTGTTTGGCTGTGAATTCTTACACTTGCATGGTACCGCGGCTTCAGCAATGCTTCACTCTCGCTTGTTTTGAAGAAGCTCTGTCTACAGTTTTGAGCCAAACAGGAAGAAACGGAGCCGGGGATTTCTAATCTCTAAGCTCATGTACCACATCCGGTCAGTTTGGAGAGTGATATGAAGTCAACTCTGCAGGAACGGACCATGTCTCCATGTCACAGCAGCGTCTCGCAGCTCCGACGCCATATCTGTACCGGTCAGCCTGCCGAGCGTCCGCCCAGCCTCGGCCGAGCGGCTCTCCGTGCGTCGACACGCGTGCCGCGTCCAACGCTCGGTCGGCCGGAGCGCGGCCCTGCACGCCTGCACGCCGCCGCTGTGTGCACGCGTGCACGGCCCGGTGGCGTCCGTGCACGCTGACAGGTCCACAATGTGGACTGTCGGCCTCCGTCCCCACCCGGAGCTGCTGTCAGACCCTCCATCCGGCTACGGTGAGGGAGTCGTGGACAGCGGAAAGGATTGTCAGCGGGACGTGACCCTGCGGCCAGGGGAGTTCTGTGTGTGTGGAACTCCGGACCTTTTTTGACATGCCTCAGGCCCCGTATGGAACTGCGAGCTTTTGCGTACGTAACAGTCTCGGCATTCAGTTCCCTGTGAAACTTCGAGCTTTGGGAACATTCAACATACCTTGACGTCTCGCATCCGGTTTGATTTGTTGTGCATCCGTTTACCGAAATACACGTGTCTTCTTTATAGACCTGTGACTATGAAATACGTGAGAACTGTGCATCAATCACCGCATGCTGCGAAACCTTCGTGATGCTGACGTGAATAGTGACCAGGCTGACCAGAGCGGGTACTCGAGCGGGCTGAGAGCGGCCTTGCATCCGTCGGCAGAACTAACGTTGTGGGTGACGCTCGGCTGCTCCCGGCAACCATCCCCGGGATCACACGTCATGAGCGACCGTTCATCGGCCACTCACTTTGGGTTAGCC